TTTTTTTCTTTTTCATTCTGGAAAAGCTGTTCCTCAATAACTTGTGTGTTTTTCAATGAATGACACTGGATAATCAAGGGGGGAAATGGACGAGGTAGAAGAGCTCTTGCTACAGTACCATGTGGCTGTGGTTCATAAGCTTTCTTGTGACTTGGAACCCACCTCAAGGGGGATTTATTGTACGACAGAGGAGAAGTGTTCACTTCTCTTGCAAACTTTTAGTTAACAATGACTGAAAGTATTCTATGTTTGGTTGGGTTTTTTTTTTTTTGTGATGGGAGCCCTCATGGCCTAGTAGATAAAGCTGCCAACACAAAAACACTTAATTCAAATCCACCAGCTGCTCCAAAGGAGAAATTTGGGCGATTTACAGCATCTGGAAACCCACTGGAGGGTCAACTATGAGCCATTTCATTTGACGGTAGTAAATCTGAGGTTTTAAAAACAACCCTTTTAGTTAAGCAGTAACTGAGTTTATTTTCCTAGTTGTTGTTTTGATTGGACATGTGTTTGTCAAAAGCAGAAATTAAGTAGATGACTCGGCTGAAGAAATGCCTAAAATGAGTGTTGCAATAGAGATAGCTTGATTAACATGTGCCAGAGAGGCTGCTTCTCCGCTTTTCTTATATTCTTTTTAGGTACAGATTATGACTGTGGAAAAGAACATGAACCAAATAGAGTGGAAACTGGTGAACGAAGTTAGTGGCAGGATAGCTGAATTTGCCTTTGGTTTAGTTTTTGTTATTTCCAGAGCTGTCCTTGTCTTTGCTACAGGCTGTCTTCTAACTTTCTCTGTGGGACCAAGAACACGCTTTTACCTTGGTTTTTCAAAGTGCAACTCAAATGAATTGGTATGTTGTTAGGTTCCACAATGTTGATTATGACTCCTACAGACTCCGTGAGCAACAGATCTGAATGCTGCCTTATCCTGCGCCCTCCTCACCATTGTGGATATGCTTAAGCGCACTGTCAGTCACTGTGTCACTCAGGCCTCTTGAAGTTTTTCCTTTCTTTCTCTGACCTTCCACCTTTCTTTTTCCAAGGACTCCTTTCTCCTGACAATATGCCTAAGGTATGTGGAACAAAGCCTCGTCATCCTTGCCTCTGAGGAGCATTCTAGTCTCACTTCCTCCATGAGAAACTTGTTTGTTCTTTTCACCGTCCATAACATATGCAATACCCTTCTCCATCATCGCAACTCAGAGGCATAGATTATTCTGTCATCCTTACTCATTGTCCAACTTTCAGATGCATAGGAAGTAATTGAAAAGACCATGGCTCTGCTCAGGTGCATATTAGTCTTTAGATCTTCAGCACTTTGGAGAGGTATATTCCCTCTGAAATAAAGTCTTTTTATCTGGCTGTTGCTACCATGGATGTTGATTGTGGATCTAAGTAAAAGAAAATAGTTGACAATTTCAATCTTTATCTGTCGTGAGGTTGCCTGTTGGCCCAGTGGTGAGGGTTTTGGTTTTCTTGATGTTGAGATGTAATCCATATTGAAGGCCGTGGTCATTGATATTCTGCACAAGTGTTTGAAGTCCTCTTCACTTTAAGCAAGCAAAGTTTTGTTATTTGTATAACGCAGGTTGCTAATAAGTCTTTTTCAATCCTGATTCCATATTCTCCTTCACATAGTCTATCTTCTTGAATGTTTTTATCAACATACAGACTGATTCAGTATGGAGAAAGGATATAACCCTGGTACACACCTTGTCGATTTTAAGCCTGTAGTGTTTTCATGTTTTGTTGGTATAATTGCCTCTTGGTCTATGTGTAGGTTTTACATGAGCATAGTTAAATGTTCTGGAATTTCCCATTCTTCTCAAAGGTGTCCCTAATTGATTATGATCCACACAGCCAAATGCCTTTGCAATAAAACACAAGTAAATGTCTTTTTTGGTAGAAAAATACTAGTACAATTCATTATTCCAAGTAAAGGCAATGGATTAAAAAATTTAGTGTTGCAATCAAACCAGTTTTCCATGCTGAAGAATCAGGTGATAATATTTATTTTCCAGTATGCCTTATCTCCTTTTCCTTCTCTCATGAAGCTGGTATTAGAGGAAAATCTGTCAACCTGGAAGAGGCAACCTGGAAAATCTGTTGAGCCTGGAGGAGTCAACAGTCAATGATGAGTTTACAATGTTTAATGTAGTTTAAAAAACATACTGCAGGGTTTCTTTTTTTTTTTATATATATTACTTTTTAAAAGTAGTTCAGGCTGCTTTGAAGGACATGGCAAAAAATAAGGCTCCAGGAATAGATGGTATACCAATTGACATATTTCAGTTAACAGATGCTGCCCTGGACGT